AGTGGTCGTGTTGTAAAGAAGCCATTAAGGCTGGACCTTTAAACTTTGTTAATCAGAACAACTCGGCTTAACCGTCTGAGAATTTTGTTGCGTTGGATTCAATTTGAACAATACTTGCGTTATTTAGGTTCTAATTTAGAGACCAAGTTTGTTTCTTTCACCCGACAAAGTTTTTAGGGTGGAGATGTAAACATATCAGGTTTTGAGCATGCGCAGTAGGACGAGACAGAATATACACGTGTGCTTGTACTCGTTAGCTGGGATAAAAAGTTATCTTTCTGATCTTTGCCATAACATTACAACGGTCACTTCGTTCGGGGTTTACTGCTGGCAATAATACGAAATGCTTCATGAAATACATCATTTAGAAGAAATTTGCTTGTAGTCCTTCTCTTGAGTTTGCCGTTTTAGTGTACATTGTGATTAACGAGAAATGTAGTTCTTAGTGTCGACCGCATATAAACACCTTATCGGTGGTTGGGCACATAATACGCACTACAGCGCATTTGGGCTTATGTTTTGCGCCTTCTCTTGACCTCATGTGATAAAATGGCGTAATAGTGGAATTATCAATGCCGTTATAGTAAGTTTTGCTCGGTAGTTTAATCTACTGTGCCCAGGCAGTAATTCTGATACTACTAATACTCCTTATTGACGTTACTGAATACAGCTGAGCTGACTTTCAAACCTCCATCTACTCATAAAGCCCACTTTCCACTACTGAGAAATGAGGCTGCAGCTGATGATTAGTCTCGTAAATTAAGACAAAAAAAAAAAGAACTCAAAAAGCAAAATGATCATTACTTACCTCAGTCTCACCGTCTCAGCGATATTTCTCTCACATAAGAAGTTCCAGTTAAATGAGCTTTTGCTCGGATGATTGTATAAATAGCCTGCAGCCCTATGGCAAGGGTGAATAATTTGCATGCTGATATGTACAAGTACGTCACGCGATTTCACTGCACCTGAGGCGATAGGTGAAGGTAACACAAGCAAGGTTTTACATAGTATGATCAAAATATGCCAATGCTCAAAAAATCGCAATATAGCATTGTGCTTGAGAGGCATCTTTATTACGCTCCATTATGCTCACGTAAAAAGCTAATATTTATCCTTAACTCTCGTTTTATTGAAGCATGAGCGACGCCTCAGTGTATCCACTTACTGGTTATTGCAGAAAAAGGTTTCTACTAATAATAAACTCGTTCTGATGCAGCAGAAGAGGGCTGACAGCTGGGTTGAATTAGTAAAAACCTGTTAGCATGTGCTGGGTGCACTGTGTAGGCCCCCAACAGTCCGGCTATCAGTTTTTGCCGCAATTATACTCCTGCAAAATGCTCCATTCTTTTGCCTCACTATCATGCTCAAAATAATGCAGGCATCATATGAAAAATCCCAAACACAAGGCCGTGTTCTACTGAGATCAACCGGTTGTTACAAAATTGCGGCTGTTCTTTGCGTTTTCGAAGTGTACGTAAATCTGAATTAGATAAAGTTTTGATCGACCAGCAGATCTATACTAGAGCAATTAGATTATTCGCTCTCGATTTCTATGAGTGATAGTTGACGAGGACACGTAGGGGCCAAACCACCCCCCAAATGTTTCGTCAGTTCTTGGGTATTTCACATTATTTCGCATTACTTAAAACGTATTGACTCTTTCTACACCAAACTTGGCAGATGAGCAGGAGACCTATTGCCAATTATATCTACGTGAAAAATGTCAGTAAATGTCAAAGTTGTGACGTCACAGTGGTGACGTCATGTTTTTTGCCACTTTTGAAGTTTTTAA